GAGATGGGTTGGATCAAATCGACCGAACTGACTTTAGTTTATATCGTGTGAATAGGGCTTAAATCGTAATACTTGCAATGTCAATCATTTTCGTAAAATTTTCATGTGCATAAGACGACCTGACTTTGTGAGCTGGCTTTGCCATTGTTCGTATTCCATTTCCATGAAAAAGATCCACTTAAGCAACTAATTCTCTCGTAGTAGTGTTGCTGATACAATAAGAAATGATCCTACTGTATTCTACAGCTACTAGTTTGAAAGACTAGCTTTAACTTAATAATCAAAATCCATATTTGTCGTTCGATGTATTCTGAATTAACTACACTTTCAGTTTCAACCAACAATATAAAAGCATGCAAATACAAAAACAATAACAAATACGTAAGAGCCAGCATTTTTGCTGATGCTTACATTTCATAGCGATATAAATTATATGATTTATATCCTTTTTTGTCTTTGAAGCAGAACATCTATTTCAACTTTTATTGTTCATGGTATTGGTTACAGACTTACAGTTTTCAGTATGGAAGAAATGAGCCATAAAAGTGTTGGTCAAACACACGCTAACACATTGGACGAATTTTCCCAGTCAAGTTCTTCAACCTTAGCTGACAACAACTGTGAAATCCCCTACAACACCAACAAAAACCCGAACAATCCCAACGAAACCCACACAAGGCAAACGTACACCATAACGACAACAGCCAAAACTCCAAACGCTAACAAAACCCTGTTTACAACGGCAAAGAAACCAAACAGCGTCGTCAAAACGCTTGCATCAATGAAAAGCCGAACAACGTCAACGAAATTTTTAACCAAACGAAGAAAACGCTAATGATACAAACGAAAACACAATTATTACAATCGGATGCACTGATGTTTATGACATTGCTGAGACTATCGAGAGTAATGGTAACAATACTAACGAAGAACAACAGTATTTTCAAAAGTTTTGTAGCTACGACAAACCTGATGAAGATGAAGAACCAGTTTCGAAGAGCCCGAAAATTTTAACGTCCACTCAAAGTATTTATCAGAAGAAAGTTAAAACAGGTATTAAATGTTTCTTTATCTTCAGTCTGTAGTATTTATTTGTACCAATGTACTTACTGTTGCAATAACAAATTTTAGTTCGTCATACAAAAGTACAAAAATGTATAGCTCTTATAGCTAACATCGACATTTTAGGTGTTCAGAAAAAACAAATTATTTTGTTACAGAAATAGGAATCACACCACTATTAAACGAATCAACAGCAAACTGCAAACATTTAAAGTTTGTGTATTTGCTAAATGCTTTTATTTTATTAATAGCTATGTATGTTACCCTAAAAGAAAAGATATCCTAAGTCTTATTGTATATTGTCTCTCTACAATTTTATAACATTATCTAAAAATGTATTTTATATTTTTATCAGGCGAAGGCTCAAAGTTAGTGGTTTTTAATGAAGACAAGATACCTCAAGCTTTATGCACATTATTTTCTATGAAAACTTTGCACAACCGCCCTGTACCAAAAAGTCATGTTGGCATAGTCATTGATTACGTCATGCCAAACTGTAAACTCAAGCCAGTTTGTCCAACAGAGCTTGATGGAGATTTTGTCGAAAAGTTTTACATATGGCCGCAATTGTTGGCATTGAATAATAACTTCCCGAAATAAATTGATAGTTTATGTAAAATAATGTAAATATATCTTACATATAGTTTTTTTTTATTTTGATTGCTATTCAATTGAATTTTGGTAATGGATTAATTTTATTTTCCCTTGATTGTTTTTAGTCATATACGTTTTGATTTTAGTCTTATAACACGTTTTGATTATAATTCATCATCATCCGCGGTTTAACAAGGTAAAAATATGAGTCATATGAGTTTTGATATGAGTTAACAGATTTTAAAAATTATTTTGGGAAATATTTCTGGTGACGAACAACCAAATATTTAATTTTACTGCAGTTGATTGTAAATTGTTTAACAAATGTCGTTAGGAATGGTCAAATGTCACAACATACGTAATTAGTTATGGCTTTATATACACTCTCAAATCGTTTAACTTCTCTAAGTAACAAATGTGACAATTTATTCTTGGTAAGAAAGACCGTGTAATGATTAACGTTGTTAAAGGCATTAAAGTTATTATTCTCTTTATTGTTGCATACACCATCACCAGTACATAGCAAAAATATTTTTTTCTTATCGATAGGCGCTCTATTAGTAAACCATGATTTCCTTTGAGTTACAATGGTTTACCTACTTTAACAGTTGTCTATACAGTGGACAGAAAAAAAAGTGGCCACGACGGCGCGGGTTCAATCCCGGCTCGTGGCACATCTGGCAATGTGTCTGTAAACCTAGCCCGGGTTGACCAAAGCCATGTGAAATTTGGTGAAATCCTGGATGGACTGTATCTGCATCTGCAATGTTGCAACCTTGTCACACTGTGTGTCACGCTGATATCAGCGTTGTAGTTGCGTGAAAGGTACGAGTGATTGTAGTCTGGTCAGCTGCCTTCACTATAATTTAAGTAACCAGGATGTTCCACTTTGTGGAACCCTCATACGTCGAAATAGACGGAGTCCATTAGTGTGTATAGTAAGTGTGTATAGTGTGTATAATGCGTATAGTGTGTAAAGGGCATATAGGGTGTATAGGGTGTATAGTGTGTATAGTGTGTAATGTGTGTATAGTGCGTATAGTGTGCATAGTGCGTATAGTGTGTATAGTGTGTATAGTGTGTATAGTGTGTAATGTGTGTATAGTGCGTATAGTGTGGAATGTGTGTATAGTGTGTATAGTGCGTATAGTGTGTAATGTGTGTATAGTGTGTATAGTCATTATAGTGTGTAATTTGTGTATAATGTATGTATTATTGTATAGTGTATGTGTATAGTGTGTATAGTGTATAGTGTGTATACTGTGTAAGGTGTATTGTATTTGAAAATCTTCTACCCAACTTTTCAGCTTTAATGTTCTATATCTTTACCCTCCCACAAACCCAACCGTAAAGCACTAACAGCTCAATACAACGAGGAAAATTGCACTTTAATTTTACACCATGGTTTTTACAACTGATTTATGTGTAACAAGAATAGAACGTTTCAAAAAAAAAATCAACAATAAAAGATAACACTAGACCAAAACAAACGTGTAACCTCGCGCAATGTTGAGATAAAAGAAAAAATCATAATAAGAATATTTAAGGACTTTTCAAAATGCACGTTTCACTTTTAATATTACAAATGATAATTTATGGCGTTTTCCCCGTTTTTTGCAACAGATCATATCAGTAATGGATAACAATGCTTCCAGTCCCCCAGGAATGATAATTATGACCCGTATTAGCTGCTCTAAGGCAGGGGTTTCATGGTTGCACCCACTCATTGTAGCTGGATTCTGTTATCATACAGTACAAATACAAGTTTAATAACAAGTCATTTATCACTAGCAACATTAGCAATCATCGATCTTATCATCAGAACCATTGTCATCAAAAAGATCATCGTCTTCATTGTCGCTGTAGCTTTCAATATCACTCTCATTGCTAACTAAAGTATCCAAAACATCGCGACTGTTAATACAGGAGAAGTGCTTGGATCCAAGGTCTAGCTGTTGCTTTGCAAAGTTTATACCCTTGTATCGCAAAGCTATCTCACCCAAAATAACACGTCTTGATTTATGAGACGAAGAAGCATACAAGGATTTCTAAAAAATAATAGATTACATGGCATTTGGTTTCTTCCACAAAACATTTTATGCGCTAAGGTTCCTTCATTATGTTTGTTGCGCACGACTTATTGTTTATTTTCTCCATACATATTCGTGTTAACGGAAGATTATATGTATATACCTCAGATTCAACTCTTTCATTTGACAAACATTCCTAGTGTCTTTCACTGAAACTCTTTCTACAAAACGTGTTGAAAATTTGAGAAGCTCAAAAAATCTAAAAAGCTTATGTCTTACAATGATTTGTTTAAAATGAGCACATGGACTCTTTTACAGTACATACGTGACTTTCATTATACATACCTGAGTTTAGACTTTGTTCCATGTCTTTTACTTCCGCTTTCAACTTTGGAATAACGATATCTTTGTAATATCGCAAATAATTACTCATCTCTTGCTTAATAAGAATTAACTCCTCCTCCAGTCTTTCTAAATGTTCGAACTTGTCAACAATTTTACATTTCAGTCGAACAGAAATTTCTATATAAAGATGTTTTATAACATTACGTTTAAGTAACTTTAAGTTCTTACTTAAGGCATGTTGGAATTTACAGAATATGTTTTAGGTACACACCATTGAGAGTCCAGGGAAACATGCCATCAACCAGAGAACACTCGTCGAGTCTTACTGTTTCTTCTTGACCATGCACAACAAACTGTAATACGTTGAATATGCGCATTTTTTTGTCAATGTTTTTCTGATCACTAGACATCTTCTGTCTTATCTTTGTTCTTGCTTTTGCTGAGTCTACAGGCAAAAGAAACAGGTAAGTATACTAAATAAGAAACAATCTATTTTGCCTTTAATTTGCAATGACTTCAGTATGGATTCTTGCTAACAAATGCACTCCTCTTATGTAGTAATATACGTGTATATGTAAAAACATACTTCCCAATTTTACAACGCTTGCTTTCCTTTGTACTATGGCAAAAGACAACATTTCTAGTTCATTCTTAAGACACTTCAAGGCACTTTCCAAAAATAACTTTTTTCCTCTATCAAGCAGTACATCGGCGGTTATATCACGACAAAGCTTGGCAGTCAGTGATTTAACTCTTTTACGTTTATCCTCAACGGTGGAGTATCTTTGAATTATCTTTTTTGACAGGGCAGAAAGATAGTCTTCAGTCTCAACACACGAGATGTTTACATTTGATGTCAATAAAGAGGTATCGGTTAAAGAGGAGGTCAAAACGTACAATTCCTCTTCTTCGGCTAAATACGTGGAAGGAGCTTTCCATTTCTACAGAAACAGAAAAAAATATGATATACTGCACAGTCGTATTAAATTATGCCAGCAAGTAAAACCCGGTTACCTTTTGCAATACGTTGAACTTCACTCTTCCACTGCAAGAAATCAACGTGGTTCGGAGAGAGATTTACGCCAGAAACCATTTCATCAAGTTCTTTCCTTGTATTTTCTTGAGCTTCTATATACTAAAAAGAAAATAACTTATCAGGATGACGGCTGTTAGTAGCGTTATTTGGCCGCATGTACAAAATAGTTTTTGAGAAGCAACCTTTGCATATCTCTTGCAGAGGGAGCTGGACAGATCACATATTTTCCGTTTATTCCACGCAAGAGCATGTTCAGTTATGAGTTCTTCTCTTGCTAAAATTGTCAAAAAAGCACATACATAGCATGACACATCAATTGAAAACCATAAAAAATGTTCCAGTAACTTGAGACCAACGTGGACGATAGCTACGTTATATGGATAATCGTTCTATCCAACAAATAAAGTCTACAATATAATTAAACATATTTTATAAACTTATTTTAAGTAACACTTACACTCGGGTAACATGTACTTTGTAGTGTTGGCCAGTCTCGAAAGGTAACTATTAATCTGCTCAACTTCCTCTCCTGTGGAATATGCAGAACCTTTTTGCCACCGTCCTCCCCACAATACCTTAAAATAAGACGAGTTTGGAAATTCTTGTTTATAAGAAATTCATTAATGTCTGAGTAGACAATACTGAGAGTGAACATCGATATACGTATAAGTACACAGCCAGCATTCATTATAAAAAACACATGATACCAGTGTACCTGGCATGTCCAATTATGTGCTTTGGCATGCATCACAGATAAAGCAGGTTTTATTTCGTGAGCATTTGACTCATCCGACTTTGATGCCTTCACTGCCCACTTCCAATATTTACATATGATATCTTGCCAAATGTATTTAACATTGTTTGGAATCATTTTGTGAACATGGATGTAATTAGAGTAGCCATAAATCTCTCCGAAAATGTTTACAGCCCACTGAGCAATTGCATGCCGGCAACCTGCAATTTCCAGTCCTGTTTCGTCTAGACGACTCTTTCGTTTTCCTTTATTTCCAGCAGCTCGCCAATTACTTTCACCACATTTCCCGTCATCAGAAAAGTTCTGTAACACAAAAGATTCAAATTCGAACCATGATCGTGGAAAAACGAACATTTATATATTGATTCAGAAAAGGCTAAACTGTCGATTTTATTATTTATTACAATGAATACAATAGCCAAAATGCAAAACCAAAAATAATGAATAAATATCATTATCAAAAGGGTAAGCATTGAGTTATAGTGAAAAGAGCTTTACTCATGTAATGGTGTATTGTACTGAACTGTACAAAACATTTCAACATCAGTGCAAAGCATGACCTCCAAATTACCCGAACTTGGGGAGTGGAATAAACCTTTCTAATATGCTCTGAAACATGTTCATTCGAAGAAATAAAAAGATCTCCATAGTAAGACTGACTTTGTTCTCTATAAAGAGAGAAAACAAGAGTTTACATTATGAAAGGCTCCTTAGAATGTGTAAAATTACAGAGTTTGACATAATACCTTCCTGAATGTTTATATCGGTATAACTTCATGTTGCCATCTACATGACAGGAGTGTTGGTTGGATGAGCAACTAGGACAAAACATCCACTCTTTTCCCTGGGCTTTTCCACCTCATAATTAAAATATTTCCATTCTCGAAAGGCTTTTGTGAACGTTCGTGGATTTATTGATCCAAACTAAAAATTGAAAGAAAGTAGAAATCACATAGAAAAAAATTGTAGACTTTTGCCACACATACATATACATTTTTTCATGAATTTGGATGTTTTCCATAACACTAGTGACAATGGTAATTGCTTTACACAAAAAACTATGTACAATGCTGAGAGTTTACACTTAGTAATGTGGCATACACACAAAGTATTTATGTACGCACCCTTCCTTTTGAAACACTTATGTCTTCCAATGATCTAATAAAACTGGACTCAGAACAACCTGGCATTCTCTTTTGCATTGTGTTCCACAGCAGAAATAAATCCTGTGAAAATAACACATTTAAAGACTTTGGATTTGCTGGCCAGTAGCCATTACCAAGAATATCTGCAAGTGTCGGCATGAAGAATGCTGAACAAGAAACACACTTGAATGATGTACTGTTTATGTCAAAGCGACCTAACAATAGAAAAAGATTAATAAACATGATAACTAAAAAGACATTATGTACATAGGATGGCAGTTTACTGTATACATGTAACTATTACAGTATGTAAGAAGAATACTACAGTAAATTAATGAGTAAATTATATAGTAGTCCTTCACAACACTGATGAAGAAGGAAATCAAAAATGTTTAAAGATTAATGTCAACAGTTGTCGGTTTAATAAGATTACATTTTATTGGAGCAAACACAAAATTTTGCATGTTCAACGTTGCAAGTATAAAATACTTTGTACATTACCTTGTGTTGTACAAATAGTCAGCATGTCCTTACTGGGCACGGAGTGAAAGGTTGATTTTCTAGAGCAGCCATGACAAAACTTTTGGACAGGATGCAAAGAAACATAGCAATCTAAGAAACAAATATAATAAATTTTCATCATTAGACTGGGAGATAAAACCTTTTTTTGTATAAATAATAGAATTATATCACCCCAAATTATATACCTATAAGTAGCTACATATGTAGGTTGATTTTGACATCAGTTAGCATAGTGCATATGACATTTAACATACTTTTACCATATTTACATGACATACCAACTTCAATTATTTGTCCATTTTTATCCAATGAATGTGATGGCTGAAGTGGTCTGAAATGATTACCGATCCACCCATGTCTATCATAGAATGGCTTTCTTTCATGAATTTTCCTATCACATTCAACACAGACTGGCCAGTTACTACCACACTGATGACACTTTATCAAGCCTGGAGATTCCCCACAGTTGAAGCATGGTGTGCCTTTATCAACTGATTCACATTGGATCAAGGTTTCGAATATGGTAGATCTATTATTTTCCCAAAGAGAATGAAGCTCTTCCATGCGATCAGACCATTTCTTGGCATCCTCTTTCTCTGAAGCCAAAAGTCCTCTGCATTCAAATATAAGATTCTCTAGCTCTACAAAACAATAATGACTTATATTGTAAAGAAATTAAAAATTGTTAGCTGAGTGAGCTTGTTGTGGACAATTTCTGATTAAATGAGACGGTATATGATCTAAGACAATTTCAAATAAAGGTGCTCAATATCAAAGTGGATAGAGCTACATACATGCATTTCAACAAATTATTGCAATTATTGATTTCAAATGCAATTATTAGTTTTACCAAAAGCATTTCAAGCATGAGCAATCATTAGACAAATCTATTACATTTAACAATATTATACATATACATTGATGCTTACCAATATCAACGTCTGTTTGCTTGTGCTCATCATTTACTTGAAAGTCATCAGCCACAGAGCTATCATACTGCTGGTTATCTAATATGAATTTACAATGCAATTTCTTATACAGTACCTAACTTGAACAACATTGACCTGTAACAGTTTTAGGTACAACCATGCATGGTAATGTAATGACAGTTTACTCAGTTGTCTTTCTGCTTACCCATAAGAAACTAAATAGTCAAATCTGCTAAGGACACTGGACAAAATTGTTTGAGCCATACATGATTTAAAGCAGCAAAATTGTACAGTCAATATTTCAAGTACAAAATTTCGTAGCATGATGTAGTTACACATGCATACTACATATTATTTAGCATAAAATTGCAAACAAGAACAACAATCTCAACATACTACTGAAGATAGTAAATTTTAATATAAATACTAAATATTAACATTACCATTTTGCTTAATTGATCCTTGACGGCAGCGGTAAGGCGTGTGGGTCAACCTCTTACAACCAACTTGCACTAAGCGAAAATGAGAAGGCTTTTTCCCCCAACATTTTGATCCTTTTTCTTTCGCCTACAAGGCTAAACCATCATTCAGAACTTTCTCCAGAGTCTCGGATTTCTTCTTTTTACACGCTGTATATCAAGGTAGAATAAATAATAGCTTAATTGTAGTTAAAATTTGCCTAATTTAATACACAATGATTCCATTCCTTTTGAACAGCAATATCTATAATATGGTGAATTCTTACGTTTTGGTCGTTTTTCCGCCATGCTAACTTTTCGCGGGTGCGCAAAACGTATTGAATTTGGATAGTTACGGAGTTTCCCTTGGATTGATGATTATTATCTATTTAAGCCGTTTTGTCAATTGATGCTATTCATCTATTTAAGCTTGAGACTGTGTTGATCCAATCGTGGTGGTCAAATCAGGGTGGGCGACAAAAATTTTATTTCATGAGCCAGCGTCTCTCATGACTTTGACCACCAAAATCCGCCATGTTTTGACCACGGCCGCGCTAATAATTTATACTAATTTTGTTGACGTTTCCCCTCAGTTATTATAGAACTCAATGGAATAAATGGATTTAGAAAGCTTAAATCCGAATGGCAAATGAATACAAGTGTAGAATCGTAGTTAGACTGGAAAACATTAAACAAAAGAGTTCAGCAAGAGTATTTGTATTTGGCAAAGGTATTTATTTGGCAAGAGTTACATAGTGTTTGCAATAAATTTTTAGAGTTTGGAAGGCCATATTTGGGATTTTAGAAGTAATACATGAAATTTAGAATTGTGATGGGTTTAAGCACCATATTATCGTGTTTGGTGACATAATACTTGTGTTTGTAATTGGGAACATAATATTCACAAGTTTCATAGATGCATAGTTTTTAGGAGAAATTTTCGATAATTCTGATTTAAGCTTACAGGGGCTGACTTTTGCATATTATAATGGAAGTATTCAAAGTAGAATTATTTGAAAAAAATCTTTAGTAATTTGCGATTGTTCAGAATTTATTTTACCATCGCTTTCCTCTGTTAAATCTTAATCTATAGGCTGTGGACACTCCAGTGACAGTGATATATGATTTTGATTTTCATAGTAATTTGTCTCAGTATTATTTTCCCAATTCGATAATGGTGTTTGTAGAGACACTTGCTCATTTTCTATTTTTTTCTTCTTAAATTTGATTTTTTTTCCAATTAAATTTGATCATTCAATTTGTAGTGTTAGTTGTGAATTTTTTTTCAATAAATTTTTTTTATTTTTCTCAATAAATATTTCAAAACGGTTTTTGCTTCTTACATCTTTGAAAAAAAAAAATAAAAACTTTGTATAATTTGTCTGATTCCATTTTCTTGATCAAAAAAAAATTTTTAATGAGTACGACCTTATATAAAATTGAATTTAATGTAAAAAATTGCATTTCCTTTCATTTTTCCCATTTTTGGCATGATTGCCCTTGGTTGTACTTAATACAAGATGATACTAATTTTTGTTTAAATTTAGAACATAACCTTGACTTTCCAATTTGTTTGACATTAGTGACTGTCTAGAAGTTACTCATAAGGATGCTTTGCATTTTTTAAACGTCAATAAAGAACTACTACATGTTTTTAATACCATATAAAACTAAACCAAACCAAACAACATTTGTTTACCGGCCAGTATTAATCCCCGCCAGGGGGGTTGACCGGTCCATGAACTTTTAATACCATATATGGTTACTATTTGTATGATAACCTTGAACGTTTCATATATTCATGCTTAAATGTTTTTTGTTTTTTTGTACAATTTTATAAACTTTTTTAATGATTTGTCTTTTTATACAAAAAAAAGTTTACTTTTTTATATGAAATGCAAAATTCATAACAAATTGATTAATTTTGTTCATATATAAAAGAAATGTTGTTTGAAATCGTATGCATTGAATAACTAATGTATCATAGATTTGTTAAGCTTGTTTTATGTTGTATAATGGAATCAGTAAAATCAAGTCCAAACACATCAAATTGGTGGAAAAGAAAACTATTTTATATGTGTGCAGGGGCGGATCTAGGCCATGGCGAAAGTGGCTTGAGCCACGGTCAGAATTCTGCCACTTAAGTTTTTCCAGGGTTGACTTTTTCATCATTAAAATTTTTTGCTCAAATACAGCAAAATTCGATCAAAAGCAAAAATTAAATGAATATTGTAATTTTTTGTCAAAAATTTGTGTTAACAGAACAAAAACTTCAAATTAAACGTCTTGTTAAAATAGTATTATCATCCAGTTAAACTCTGAACTGTAAAATCACCGAAAGCGTCTCGTATCTTGCCGAATATGCCATGAATATGCTCGGAATATGTGGAATATGTTCGTAAATTCGAACCTGCAATCTCAGAATGAAATGCCACGGTCAGCGTTCAAAAAATTTCGCAATAGTTGCTAAATATAGTAACCTTCAGCCACGGTGCAGCGTTGCAAGCCAATCACAGGGAACGTTTTGGTCATGTGCGCCACGGTGAATGTATTTCGATTGCGCAATAAATACAAGTCATATGCAATAGCTCGATTCTTGTCGACTTGAAAAAACGCTACTTCTTGTTCTACTCAGCGATTAGGATCAATGGTAACTTCTAAAAAGATCGATGTTCTTGAAAAGCTCGTCCAAATCTTTCAGCAAGAGAACGCTTGCGAAATTATTTCTGGTGAATTGTCTAACAATGTGGTAAAATAATCAACAATGAAAGGCTTCGTCGTATAAATTCTACTGGTGATA